AGGGATGTATTTCAATCTGTTAACAGTGGTTAGCTCTAGGCTAGGATTATGACAAATTTTTTTTGTTTTAATTTAAATGAATTGCATGGCCAGCATGACTTAACGGTTGAGTGTTAACCTATGAATCAGGAAATCACAGTTCGATTCCAGGTCAGGACACCTGCCCAGGTTTCAGGCTTGACCCCAGTAGGGGGCATGCAGGAGGCATCCAATCAGTAATTCTCTCATCATTGATGTTTCTATTTCTCTCTCCCTCTGAAATCAATTTTTAAAAAAAAGCTATTTAAAAAAAATAAATAAAAATAAACACTGAATTATTTTTATTTTGTCCAATTTAATATGATTTTATGCTCAAGGGGGCTTGGTTATTTCTTCATCAAATAGAAAAGAAAGTGGAGGAGAGACACTTAAGATGGTTTTCATATACTGAATGTTTGTGTCCCCCAAAATTCATATGTTCATGCATAATCCCCAATATGGTAGTATTTGGAGTTGGGATCATTAGGAGAAAATTGGTTTTTAATGACGTTATGGGGGATGGAGTTTCCATGATATGATTGATGCCCTTAAAAGGGGATAAAGAAACAAGAGCTGTCTCTAGCCATGTGAAGATACAGTGAGAAGGTGGTTGTCTGTTAGTCAGCAAGAGGGACCTCACCCAAATCTGACCACACTTTCAGCCTCCAGAACTGTGAGAAAAAAATAACACAAAAACATTTGTTGTTTAAACCACCCAGTCTATAGGCCAAACTGACTAAGATAATGAGATTCATGGTGAAGTAACTTTGAAGAAATGTTTTTCAGGATAGATAAGACTTGAGCTTGTTTTAGGCCCTGGGAAAGAAGCCAATGTGGGAAGAGATTTGGGAGGGTGAGGGGAACATTAACCAGCCAAAGTCCCAGAGGGGCTGGAACAGTATACAAGTGTCATGGCTAACTTTAGAAAGAAGGAAAGGACAAAAAGTCAACATAAATGAAGTTAGGAAATCCTTTTGAAGAAGGAAACAAAAGGTATTAAAACTATTGAACTCATGTGTTTTCCCAATGAATTGGGAGAAAAGATCATCATTGGAGTAGGAGGGCAGGCACGGGGAGCTGGAGGGGTATAGAAGAGGTATATTGCTGCTGCATAGAATGAAATAGGCATGATATTCTTGATATTTATCCCAGATCTACCAAATCATCATCTCTGAAGGCGGGTGATCCTAATGCACACTAAAAATCTGGAACTTTTGAAACAAAAGGTTAACTAAGGATATGGGGCTGGTGCTGATGCTAGATCATAATTGTTTGAAAGAGTCAATTAATACATTTGTATGATTTTCTCCAGCATTATTGAGAAAAATCAATAGCTGGATATACTCAGAGTTGGGTTTTGGGAATGTGGGTGTAGAAGTTAAGTTGATGGGTGAGTCAATGGAACTTGAGATGCTGGTAACTGCACCATTAACTTGGGTAATCACAATGTAAGAATAGGGTGGAGAGAGAGGAGTTGAAGTGGAATTTATGAGGAGGATGTAAAGCAGATTTCTAAAAGGGAGTGGGTGAAATGCAAGAACTGCGTTTTGGTCAGTGAGATGTGTCCTGGTGTAAAAGATTTTGAAAAGCAGATGGTGACATAGTCCCAATAGTGGCTATCGAAGGAGCTTCTGAACTACTAGAGTGGAGATAAAGTTGACCCAAGTAAAAGAGGTCAGAGGTGAAATGGTCATCCTTATGAACACCAGGTTTGTTGGATCCAATGGGTGGAGGCGAAGGTGGTACTCAAGACCAAACCTGATAGTGAAGAAGAAAATGTTAGGGTCAGGGAGAGTAAAAAAAAAAAACTGTGACTGTTGTTTGAAGATAAAATAAAAGTAACAATAAATATTTCATTGTTCTCTACCTGAGCATGAAATGTTCAGCCTCTGCTCTCTTCAAACTCTTTCCCTAAGTAACCTCATCTTTATTCACAGTTTTAATTATCACCTCTATGTGCACACAGACCTTCCTTCTGAATCCAGATCTGTATCATTTCCTACTTGACATCTATCAGAAAGCACCAAAGAGCCCCTGAGGTTCACCTTGCACAAGCAGAGTTCATGATCTCCTACTGCAATCCTGGTCCTCTTCCAGTTTGTTCTCCCATTGCTCAGCACCTCCTCCCCACAAGCCAGGATGAGTCAGCAATCAACCTTGATGACTGCTTTTTTCCCGTCTTCTATATCCAATCCATCAAACTTCCAATCTTATATAATAAAAGCCTAATATGCTAAGTGTCCAACAGTCCTTTTGACGATTTGACCAGTCACTATGACAGCACTGACCACAAGGGGGAAGGCGCTCTGACTGGTAGATTAGCTTGCTGCTGGGGTCTGGCCAATGGGGATGAGCCAGACACGCCCTGGAGCCCTCCCCTGCTGGCCAATCTTCCTTGGTCCTTCCCCAACCTCTAAAATATTTCTTATAATTAATTTCCTTTCAATGTGCACAAATCCATGCATCAGGCCTCTAATTTAAGATATAAAGAACTCTTGCCGAAACTGGTTTGGCTCAATGGATAGAGCGTTGGCCTGCGGACTGAAAGGTCCCAGGTTTGATTCTAGTCAAGGGCATGTAACTTGGTTGTGGCCATATCTCTAGTAGGGAGTGTGCAGGAGGCAGCTGATTGATGTTTCTCTCTCATCAGTGTTTCTAACTCTCTCCCTTCTCTCTGAAAAAAAAAAAAAAATCAATAAAATATATTTTTTTTAAAAGAACTCTTGAATCATTCTATTTCTCTCCACTGTTACAGCCACTACCCAGTCCTAGATTTTTGTAATACCCCACCCACAATGGGCCCACCTACACCTCCAGGAGGCTCCCTCCAATCCCTCTCCACCTCACTAGCCAGGATGATCTTTCCAAAATTTAAATCTGTTGGTGTCATATTTCTGCTTAAACCACCTCAAAGACTTACTATTGTGTTTAGCCCATAAACATGATTTACAAGTCTCAGTAAGGTCTGAGCCCTGCCCACAGCTCCAGGCTCATTTTTGCACCACTCCTTCACTGGGAGCCAGCTGCAATGGCTTTGTTTCATTCTTAGATAGGCATCATTTTATTTCCACCCTAACTCCCAAGGCCTTTCTACATGTTCTTCCTGCCCTAGTACCTGCCCTAATACCTGTCACTGGTTACCCCTACGCTCCTTTTGATCTCAGGCATGATTTCTTTGGAGGAGCCATCAGAGACCTCTCCAACAAGGTCAAAGCTCCCTGTTACAGTCCTTCATATTCCCCAACTTTATGGCATACATCTCAGTTGTGATTTCACATATTTCTGTATGTTTGATTATTTCACTTACGTCTGTCTCCCTCACTAGACTCTTTTGCTCATGACAGCCAAGAACCCTCTGTGTTGTTGCTAAGTACAGGCAGGGCGTGACACATAATGAATATGCCATAAATATTTCTTAGATGAGTGAATGAAGAGATCAAAAACCACCTCTGTCTGGTATTAGCTATAGTCCCAGTAATAAAGTTTTGTTTCTCATGTCCATCCTTGGGTCTTGGGAATAGTGTGGTCATAATGGACCCTTCTAAGTAATGATATCCATGATAGCTTAACCAGCAGTTTAAGCCAAAATGCTTTATTCTTGTCATGGCTCCATAGTGGTGTGCCCTCAGACAAGATAAGCATTTTTTTTAGCCCTAAACTCTGTGTTTTACCTACAGATCAGGTGTCTCCTTTTACCTTTGAACTTTCAACAGCTGTTTCTCCAAACCTCTCCTTCCCTTACAGCCTGTCTCCCCAGCCAGAGATGACTGCTGGCCTCCTGCAAAGGTAGGGGAGGTCCTAAAACTGAGCCAGCTCCTCTGTGGGAGGGTTGGGAGGAAGCGTGGGACTGCCTTTGTATTCAGAAACAACTGCTGGATTCTATTTCTTCAGACAAACTTGTTTTGAAAAGAACAAGACTTGAATATTTGACATGACAAAGAGCTAGTTCTAAACACTGTTGTCTGAAAGGGTGTAATTCATCAAACCAAAAACCTAGGAGCCTGATATAGGTGTATTTACCCCCTTTCTTGTTAATTGGGCTCCTATATATTCAGATTGCTCTCTTTCTGCTTCAGTGACGTCTAAGCAGTCTGAGTTTTCAGCTGCTGTTGTTTATTTTCTAGATAGTTCGCCTAAATAGGTCCTGGAAAGTGAAAGGGAGAAACTTGGTTTTCAAACCTTTCTGATTCTTGGATCCCTAACTCTCCTCGGTAGATGAAGTGCAGTTTCAGACCCCATCCGGTGCTATAGACTTGCAGTGTGAAACTTGTCATGGTGTCTCTGTATGTTAATTTCTCCATCCCTAGAATGGATGCAATGATTCTTACCAGTCTCAGGGACACATCATTAAATCACGGAAATGATGTCAGAGGAAAATAAGGATGACTCATCTCGCAGAAAGGCATAGCTATACTTTCTTCGTGTTCTTCAACGTGCAGGAAAATCTCGTTCAAAAAAGAAGTATTCGTACCTGAGTTGACAACTCCAAGTGCACCGCAACCACCCACTTCCGAATAGGAGTAGAAAAATGCGAATCATTTCTGTGTGCCATTGTGTAACACAGAAATCTCTGGCCTGGAGCCCATCGCTGTGGTTTGGCAACATAATCAGCACATCTCTTTTTTCATCTCTTGAAGAAAAAAAAAGCAACACACACAACCCAACAGAGAGAAAGCACCTTGAGCATAAAGGTAATGATTAATCCACCAGGCACAAAAAAAGGATAAAAAAGAACCTTTTGGGATTTCAAAGGTTTTAACTCACTAACTTAAAGAAATAGCAGTGAACAGGGAGTGACAATTTCCCCAGGAGAGGATTAAGTCACGAGCTGTAATTGGGACAGTGCGGAGTTGAATAATCTTATCAGAGATCTCCAGGTATTTATGAGCGGTTGTCAAAACTTCCTTTTACATGTTCGAGTGAAGTAGGGAGCAGAAGAAGCAGGTTCTGGTGGAAAAAGTGGTCCTTGGAGAAGCCACACGATGCAGCCAGAGAAGCAATGGAGGAAGAAAAGCTTCAAGCAGAGACTGGCGTTGAAGAGCAGTTTGGCTAAAGAAACACTCTCCGAGTTCTTGGGCACGTGTATAATGATCGTGAGTATTTCCTGATTTTCAGATTTCCAAATCTATGCCTCCCTCTCAATCTAGTTCCTGGGGGAGACTTTTGTTTTGGTTTCTTTAAGTTTGTCAGTAGATTTATCTCTTCCGGGAAGCAGCAAGTTACTTACAGGCTGTGTAACTACTTAGAGGTTTCAATATTAGGTTCCCATTTACTCGTTTCATTTATTCACAAGCCTTGGTGGGAGTGGAAGAGGAGGGAGCTTGAAGTACTGTTTTAATTTCAGAGATTTACTTGGACCTTAAGGTGGCCTTGTAATTAATGTCAGATAGGAGATTTTTTTTTTTTTCATTGACTCATTGATTTATACCCTGTTTGTTTCACACAAATATTGGGGTGACTCAGTCACTTGAAATAAGTATTGACAGCCAATAAATATGGGTGATAAAAAACAGTTTATTATTGTGTTGGTAGATCACTTGACTCTTAAAAATTGCACGGGACAGAAACAGTGCACTGGGCACTAGCCTAGCTTTGGCGTTGCCCATTTCCCCCACTAACTCAAGCTAATTACTAAAGAGCTTTAATTAAACAATTATAAGAACCTTCTATTTATATATAAAGGAAGATTCTAAACTTCTTGAGGATTTTATCTAGAGATTTTCATGGCTATTGATAAAACATTAGAAAGTTTACTAGAGTAACATGGGCTCTAGGTTTTTATCCTGTTGCATGTTTTCCCACATTCTCTGGACCCTGAATTTTCAGTTGGAGTCAGACCATTTGTTTTGGGGGGTTTTGTGTGTATGTGTGTTTTTAAATCTTCACCTGAGAATAGTTTTCCATTGATTTTAGAAAGAGTGGAGGAGAGAGGGAAAGACAGAAATACTGATGTGAGAGAAACACATCCATAGGTTGCCTCCCGCACACACCCAGATCCTGGGAGGAGCCTGCACCCGAGGTGTGTGCCCTTGACCGGAATCAAACCCAGGATCATTCAGTCTGCAGGTAGACACTACTCTATAACTGAGCCAAACCCATGGTGCCAGACCATTTGTGAACAGAAAATTACATCTTTGATTATTCTCGTGTGTAGCCACTACTGATTTTAATTTGTTTTTAAAAATAATCTGCTCAAGGATTCCTTACTCCAGATAAAAATTTTATTTTTCTTAAGGTAATAGAGAATTGCCCATAAACTTTGTACATTAAAATTTATTTGGTAAGGAAAAAGTTATTTGGTAATATACAGCATGATGACTACAGTTTATAATACTGTATTGTCTATTTGAAAGTTGCTAACTAGATCTTAAAACTTATAAGAAAAAATTATAAAACTATGGTGATAAATGTTAACTTATTGTGGTGATCATTTCACAATATATACAAATGTCAAAATATTAGGTTGTGCACCTGAAACTAATATAATGTTATATGTCAATTATACCTCAATTTCTAAAAAATATTTGCTTTGGGTAAATACATAGTAATTTAGGAGAATAAGCCAAAATTGAGAAATGAATGTGAACTTGGGGATGTGAACATAAGATGAGAGAGAGTCATTTTTTCTGGTCTCTAATAGCTTCTTTTTTTTAATCTAATTCACCCAAGTATGTTAAAGGCATTAGGGATGATTTTTTGTATTGCTTCTGGGCTGTCCTTATCCACATGATTGTGTAAAGGAGATTGTGAAAGAAAAGAATCAAAGCCCAGGATTCTTTTGATTTTAGTTATTGCTTTCTGGAAAATTGTGCTCAAGGATATAGACATCCTCAGGTCATGGTCACCTTATAATTGACAATTTGGTCCCAAAGAGGAGAGTGGTTGTCATCCCTGACTTCTGCTCACAGTAACCTTGCTTCCAGAGAACGTGAAGCAAGTTCAGTTACAACTCTTGAGTGTTCTGCAGAGTAGGAAGTAAACACCCATTTTGTAACCAAAAAAGTTAAAACTCTTATTTCTTAACAAGAACCTGTTTCATAATCCCATCCAGCTGGGTTAAGTAAGTGAAAATTGCTTTCAGCTATTCACTGTTCTACTGTTAAAAATCAAACACAAATCCAACTGTGTCAAAATAAAGATCTAATTGGCTTTATGAAGTGATTCATAAATTGGGCAGCATCGCATCTTAGCAACTAGGCGGGGGTGGGGTCCAAGGATTATACAGAAAGAAAGGCTTTATAGGCAGAAAGAGGTAACTAACTAATTAGAGTGGATTAATTCAGGCAAGGCCCATTCTTTTAGCGTAAGGCAAGGTGTTATTAGGAAGGTTTTATATAAAAAGAAAGCCATTCCTTTAGGGTAAGGCAGAGTGTTATTAGAAGGGTTTTATATAAAAAGAAAGGATTGTTTTTGGGTCCGAACATCTTTAGAGGGAAAAGAAGGGAAGGGTTTTAACATGCAAATTGCCTCTTTCTATGGGTTGGGGACAATGAATAGGGCCCACAGCATAGATCCTTACTGGTGCTAAGCCAGAAAATTTCAGAGTGGTTGAATAAAATTGTTTCTGGAGAGGTTGAAACTGCAATTAAACCAGGTATGAAATCTAGTTTAGGTATCATGACTTCCAGCAAAAGTGACCATTTTGGGCCTGTGGTTTTCTGTTTAAAAACTACTCCTACAGCCCTGACTGGGTGGCTCAGTCACTTGGAGCATTGTCCCATAAAGCCAAAGTTTTCCCTTCTTCTTCTTCTTCTTCATCTTCTTCTTCTTCTTCTTCTTCTTCTTCTTCTTCTTCTTCTTCTTCTTCTTCTTCTTCTTCTTCTTCTTCATCTTCTTCTTCTTTTCTCTCTCTCTCTCCCTCTCTCTTTCTCTCTCTCTCTCTCTCTCTCTCTCTCTCTCTCTCTCTCTCTCTCTCTTTCTTCTCCTTCCTCTCTCTAAAATCAATAAACACATACCTGTGGGTGAGGATTTTAAAAAATTAAATTAAAAAAACACCACTCATACACCTAGCAGTCTCTTCCCCTAGCATTCAAGAGGGGCGATAAAAGAATAATATCTTACTATTTTATGTTGGAAAATTAACCAATCCATTCCTGAAAAGCTTGATTTCCATCTATATTGTACGCTTATTTATTTATTTTAAATATATTTTTATTGATTTTAGAGAGGAAGGGAGATGGAGAGAGAGAAACATCAATGATGAGAGAGAATAATTGATTGGCTGCCTTTTCCACACCCGTTACTGGGGATCGAGCCCACAGCCCAGGCATGTGCCCTTGGCTGGAATCGAATGTGGGACCCTTCAGGCCATAGGCTGATGCTCTATCCACTAAACCAAACCAGCTAGGACTGCACACTTATTTAAAGCAAACCCTGATGAAATCTATGATAGTGATTACAAGCTCCAATTTTGTTGAGGCCTGTGGGGATGTATAGACAAGTTGCCACACCGACGCAATTACTTCTTAATCCATAAATCTATATTGTTTTGCTCAAAGATTTCCAGAATAGTTGTCTCTGCTGTATTAAAAAAATGTTCATTTTGCCTTGTTTTCTCTGGTAAAAAGCTCTGCATTCTGATAAGGCAGGGAAAGGAAGCCTTAAACAGATGGCAGAGGATGTTGAGGACTCATTAGTGCTTCAGGTTTGTGAAGCTGGTTCCTCTTCCCTCCCCACCAAACTCTCCCACTCTGGGAGTTTGGGGCCATTTCCCCCACCAAAACCAACACAAAACCAAACAAAATGCTCTTTGGGGAATTCATGTCACTTAAACTCACTCATGTCATGGTGTAAATGACTAATAAGGCCCACTGGTAGCATTAAGGGAAGGGATGGCCCATGAGAAATTCTTGGTAAACTACAGCTAAAAACAATAATGACATCACAAGCCAAGGAACTTGCTCAAATTTGGCTTTTTAGGTATTAAGATAGGTAGGTCTTCTTGCCTTTGCTAATGTCAGGAAGGAGGTCTTATTATCACCCATCAACAGTTGGAGAAATGAAAACTCAAAGAGATGAAATAACTGGCCTAAACCAGAAAAGCAGTAAACTGGAATTCTTTTTTTATTCTAGAATCTTGAGCCCATTGTTGGAACTATTTTAGTGATCTCCTTGGTAGATAGTAAGACTCCCTCTGCTTTAACAGATTAGAGCCATAGCTTGCTTGAGGGCATTCGAGTTGGTCAAGGGCATGTAAGTTTAAACCTGTAAGCACTTGAGATCAGATTGTTAGTTATGCCCAGAAGCCAAAGTCTTTACTTTCTTGGAAGCTGAAAAGACTGTTCAGTGCAGGTAGAGAGGTATTAAGTGAAGGTAGAGCTCAGGCCTGTGCATGTGGGTTCATGGTCTGGTGATTTCAAACTACACCTTAAAAACACTACATGTGAAGTTCCTGATACCAGAAACACTTATTCAATTCCATTTCCTTTCCCCCTTTCTCACTCTTTCCCCTTCTGCTCAGAATCCTTGTAGTATTTGAAAACAACTGCTTTGTCTCCTCTTAGCCAAAATCTTGCAGGCTCCTTTCTCCAGCATCTGCCACAGAATTCTGCTCATACATACTAGGAAGTGGGAGCCCATACATATGTATTGAATTTAAATTTTCCTCCCCTGAACATTCTAGAATCTCCAGTTATTTCTCATATGTTCACTCCTTGCTATTCTATGTGTGCTCTTCTCTCTTTAAACATTTCAGCATTCTTTGACACAGCTCATCCTTTTGAAGATGCTGAGAATAGCCTCGCAAGCAGCCATGTGGCCTGCAGTAGGAGGGCACCCTTCTAGGGCTGAACTTCTGAGTAGGTAGCACCTATTTGTGTATTGGGGAAGACCCTAAATTCTTTTCTCACCCTGTGTCAAGCTTGCACATTAAAGGTCTACTTTTTGACATTTCCAGGAACGAAACAATGTGAATCCTTTTTAAAAAAGTGATATCCTTGATGGATGTCCTGAAGGGAAATGCAAAAGCTAAAGGCCTAGGACACAGACTCTGGGTAGGCATAGGGGAGTGGGCAGTGCAGGAGTGAGGGAGGAAATGAGATGAATGGTACATGAGAAACTTCCGACTCTCTGTTTTTCCCACGTCTGCTCCTGA